ATATACTAGACAATTGCGTCATATGTATAAATGGTGGCCTGTCCACCAAAGTTTTTAGCAACAACTAAAAAACTTATATATAAAATATACACACTTTAAAGACCATGTGGTCCTTTTGAGAATGGGAATCTTTGTCAGCCCCATTTTCCCGTCATCTCTCGCTGCGAGTGCTGAAATAAAGCCTTCCATCTCCTCGCTATACCATTGATACTTGATGAACACAATGAAACAAATCAAGTTAATAATGTCCATTTATTTATCTGTTTGGTGTACTGGAAATGTAATGCAATTTAACACAGATGTTTTTGTGACTTCAGATGAAACAAGTCTACGAATATCGCCCATATATACCGCCCATACAAATTCAATTAATAAAACTAGATCATATGCAGTAATATGTTTGTATAAATAAGTAAATAGTAAATTTAATCAAAAAATAGTTAATATAACAAAACTAACTTAATTTGGTGCTCACGAAATACTCGCGTAAAGTACTAATAAGAGTCTAAAAATATTCACGTTATCCTTAAAAAATCATTAAGTATCGTAAACTACATAAATAAATACTAGCCAACTCTGCTTGAAATTAGATAAAAATAGTGAATTTAAGTTTATATTGAGTACTACCGAGTGTATCGGAAAAATGCAGTGAATGCCATTTCACCGTGAACTGTTATGCATTGTACACTTGTATCTAATCGCACTCTGCTGACGTAAATTGCTGTGTAATTAAAAACGTATTTACAATTAAAAGCAGATTATTTTTTAAAAGTGGTGAAATGTCCTCCTGAAACGGCTGTTTGATGAATGATGATGTCTATGTCTAGTCTGGAATTTTACTGCACGTTTATCGGTGCAATTATTTAAATTGAGTAGTGTCATTGCTTTTAAAACAAACTATTCGCATTGTATATAAGTACATAGATATGTATACATAACTGGTTAAAATTATTTTCAATTAAATTAATCGGTTTTTGCCCATGTTTTTCAACACGATTTCATTTTTGTATCTATTTGATTAATAATTTGTGTGAAAGGTTTTCGTTATTTACAAGCAAAAATTCTTCATTTTAATTTACTACAATAAATTCTATTTTTAAATAATATTTCAATTAAGTGGTTTTCCAAAAATAATTTGATTAAAATAAATTTTATAAACTTTTTGCGCTTAAAGCGTGGTTTATACTTTTCAAACCAAATGAAAATATCTTATCAAAAAATTAAGTGCAAAGCTATATCGATTTTCTGTCAAAAAATATCATGACCCACCAAAATTTGTGTCTTGAAGGCTAACTTGTGCCAGTTAATATGCGTAGTTTTCCACAACAACTTGACAGACATATTGACATGTAAAACGCAATTCCATATTTTTACTCAAAATTTAAACATTTTTCAATTTTCTAAAACTTTCGCACTTTATTGAAGTGGTTGGAAATTGTTCCTGTCAGAGTGCTTGTCAGTAACAAAATCTATCTTTTTGCTTAAGTATTTCCAAAGTATCTCCAAGTATCTCCAAATTATTTGAAAATAAATTTTTTGATTAAATAATTTTGCTGTAACCATGTAATATCCGGTATTAATCATAAACTTTTTTAAAAGTTTACAGCAATATTTGTTCCTTATTCTCATATTATAACATTACCTACTAAAGAAATATCGGAATTCCTCATATCATCTTTATTTGTTGTTATTTAGAGTACAGCACGTACATATGAGTTTTAACTTCTTCGAAATAAAAGTACTCCTTAAATGTACGTACTTCTTCAAGTACTAAAAAATTGAATTAGCCTAACTGATAATTTTTTGCCCTCAAGCCAAGAACTTTTTAACGCAATTTTGGGAGCGTTCACTGGGTAATTGTACTTATTGCATAAAATATTTATACACTCATTATATGCTGCCTATAATATTAATAATATCAATTTCCTCTTTTCAAAAAAGTTTGTTTTTTATCCTAAATACTCGTAATAAAATTGAATTTTATGAACACATAAACAATATTCTCTGAAAGGAAATATAATAATGAAGAAAAAGTAAATATATTTTTCAGTTGTGTGTGAATAATAATTTTAGCAGATTTTCTTATTAAAGAATTTTCAAAATGTATTTATTCATCGATATAATAACAAAATATTACTTAAGATTTAAGTAATGTAGCATTTTATGAACTAAATTAGTGTGTCTATCACTATCACAATTGCTTCGACACAAAAGAGCAACTATGGTCCCGGTGCTCCACACCATTGGGAGCTGGTGCCTTGTTTATATCTATCACAATTGCTTTGCAGGATATTAATTTTAGGTTAGTATTATTTTATTATATGTTCAATTCGATTTTATCACATTATTTTTATAATAAAACTATACATATTAACTCTATAAAAATAATTTCTATTTTTCTTTATAAGATGATAATAAAAATTATTTGCAAATGTTTTAAAAGAACTCTTTAAAGCATATTCAACACAGATACCTTACTTAAATAATATCGACAATGTTTTTAATTGTTACAATTATTCTTATATCATATCATATTAATTTGAGCATAAAAATCAGTTTGCCACTTTTTGAAATTGCGTGAATTTTTGTTATAATATTTTAACGATGACATTTTTATTATAAATATTTAAAAAATATTTCAAAACAGTTGCCTTTACTCAATTTATCTGGTTCGATCGTATTGAATAGCTTTATCAAATTTTTGAAAATATTTGGTATAACCTTTCGGGTACAGATAGGTTTTTTGGGGCACAGAGCCTGGTTGAAAACTGTAACTATACATCAAATGTGAGTTGATGGATACAGTCATTTTACTAGAGTAACTTTGGGTTTTAAGCACAACGACGACAACAATCCTTCTGTTGACCCTCATCTTCGGTTTACCAGATTTACACATACGATCGGGTACCCCGAATGAAACTCACTCACCACCTTTTGTACTTCAAACAGAATTGATGACGACTACTGGTTTTAATGGTTATTTTGGTTTTAACACAGGAAGATTTTAAACCCCTCTCTTGCGAGGCTATCCTTGGTAACACAGGTCATTTAAACAATAGCGGATGTTCAATTGGTAGGTGAAGGCGAAAACTTCTCAAGCTGTTCATTTAAATAGCAAATTTGTTGCTTCGGGTCAATGAAACATGAAAGTTCCATATATGATGGCATTTATGAGGCGAAGAATTAGGTTCTGAAAATGGACCTTTTCGATGGAGTACTGCACAAGAAATAATAGAACTCATTGTCATGAAATATCAAATGAACAAATCAAAAACCAAACTGTAAATCCACAACTTAACGTCAAATAGTTCAATAAGGTAGGCTACACTTAGAAATAAAGAAAGGATTTTAAGTTGTTATACAGAAAATCAAACACAATCTCAAAATTTTATTCACTGTTATAACACTAAAAACTATAAATGGGTTATTTTACTTTCAACGGGGTTTTCAATGGGTTTGTTAAGTATAGCTATTTTGAAAGTTATTTAGAATCTATGTAAATCAGTATGATTGCAAACCTGATATCACCTTATATATATGCATGCTTACTAACAGAATGTCTGAATCTAGATCCAAACGTATTACTTTTTTTATTTGCTAGCTGGAACGAGACGTTCAAATGTGGGGATATGTACAATAAATCAATATGTTGGATAGAAGACCTAACAGTTGTTATGAATGAAGGACGTAGTGCGTTATAACCACTTTTAGTATTTTATTTTATTTTTTTTATATTAAATGTTGCTGAAGTTGTGATAATGATTCTAATGACTAATAAAAGATTGTCCGGTGACATGAACAATCTATATTTTTTAATAGTTTTGTTCTTTGTTTAAATTTTTTTTTTATTTTTTTATTGCTAAAACTATAGCTTGAATCTGATCAATACTATATACACATAAATAAGCAATTTTCTACACAAATTACTTCACATTCTAATTCAATGCCATGTCAGCGACATTTCGCCGTTTTAGTCGTCTTGGGTGTCCATACGAGGTTATGATGTTAACACCTTCTGTGTTAACATGTTGCTGCAACCTCAGTTTGTGACTTTGTTGCTTTCTTTCTTATTTGTTCAGCGACTGTGGACAATTTTAGATCGCGGTGTATATCGCTGTTCCTAATGTACCATGGCGTTTATAAAATGTTCTGTAGAACCTTGTTCTGGAAACAAGGTTTTGTTTGTTTAAAATAATCGCTCTTAATTCTTATTTATATTAATAGGTTTTATTGATTAATAAACTAAATTATGTTATTTTTTAACTCTTCGTTTCATTGCACATAAAAGATAATTTCTTGTAGTGAAGGAGATGTCTTAAAAAAACTAACTTTACGTATATTGAATATACATGAATACGTACTTGTATATAATTAATTTTTAATTATTTAATTCGGTTGACAAAAAAAGTTAATTAAAAAACTAAATGTTGATAAAAGCATTTATTTCCACTTATTTTTATTTGATTCTATTATTCCATTTTAAAATAATAATGCTAATAATTTAAAGCCAATTAAGAAAAATCGAAGTCAAAACAAGTCTTACAATTTTATTTTTTATTTGCCATATTTTTCTATAATTTTTGCCATTTAAAATGAACAGAAGTCGTCAAGTTGTGGTGGTGCAGCGGATTCTGCATCTGCATCTATCGTTGCGTGAATGCGTTCAAGACCACGACTAACACAATGAGTGCGCATGAGTGACGTGTGTAGCATTATTTCGCGGTCTCGTTTCTCAAATGATTTTTTTCTTTATTTATTCATGTGACCACTCGTAAACGCGTTTATATCCGCAACTTAATATTGAGTTGTTTTTTTCAATAATTTTGTCTATATTTTGGCTAAACATTTTAACTGATATTGCTCTGATCTTTAGTTTTCTGAAAAACGTCAATATGTAGATGTATGTAAGTTTGAAATTTGATATATTAAATGAGACACACATTTAGTTGGCGCCTTCAGCTATAAATATAAACGTTCTTGTCGAATCGTTCATAGTTTAATTTACAATCGCCGCTTGAGTTGTAATTTAAAGTTCTGTGAATTTTTAATCCTTAAAATGAAGTTTTCAGTAAGTTTGAAAAAAACTGTTAATTAAAATAAGTTTTTGTGAAGTGTGAATATAATTTTAAATTAATTCAAAAATTAATTTAAAAGTGAATTTATCTTTTTGAGTGCAGAGAGTTCTTCCTTCTAAAGCTATTTATTTAGGCATACAGCGATGCTTGATAGTAAAAAATTTGAAGTTCTGTTCTTCTGCATATAAATAATTTGAAGTAATTAATAACAATTTTTATATGGTTTCAGTTCCTTCGAAAAGTTAACTTTCATTTTGATATATTTTTTTTTATTTTAATAAGTAAATTTAAACAATGAGCATTATATACTTAATGTTATAAAAGTTTTTATAAAATAATTTGTTGCATCCTTTCCAGATATTACAATACACGATACAGTATCAGTAATATTGTGAGGATGAATGTGAATAAAATTAAAATTAAAGTAATAATTATATTAAATTTTTAAAACACAATTAATAGGAAGACTATTCTTTATTAAATTAATATTTTAAATTTTTATATATATATGGTATTTATGTGTTCATTCGCTATACATGTCACAGATATAGAAAAAAAAAATAAAATAATTAAAAACAAATAATAAATCTTTTTACACACATTAAAATTTTCATATTTGATTATGTTTTCTTAAATAATTTATTTAAATATGTTAATTAAAGTAACAAATTTAGTTAAATAAAAAATACGATAATATTTTAATAGTTTATATTATAGATAGCTTTAGGTGAAGAATTTCAGTAGAAAATAAATTCTATGAGTAGTTAGAGGTTATACAACTTCAAACAGACCTTCATTGGCATTTCAGTAGATAATTTCACTTCTGAATAAAGAACATTGAAAAACTCTTGACATAATTAACAAAATTCTTTAAAATTGACTACAATTATGTATGAGAAGGATTTTAAATTACAATTCTTTTGAAAATTTGTTATAAAATTTGTCATTTCTAATTAAATTTTTTTTTGTTTAACGATATGATATTAAACATTAAGAAAAAAATCAAATTTTTATCGATTTATCGAATTCTTGAGCCAACTTACAGCTGTTTCAAATACTTCCAAATATCTCTGAACAGATGTATTGCTTTAGTTGTCCATACACAATTTTGGGCAACAAATGTCAGATATTAAAGTCTGTTCAATTCCAAACTCTATTTATTGGTTGTCCATAAAAAATTTTTGAGCAGCTAGTGTCAAGAACCCAACCTTATCATATATGCAAGAGTCCACATCTTGTGCAAATACAAGAGTGGACTCTTGCTATTTTTAAGTCTAACGTATAAACCAAAGCTACACAAATTAAATTAATATAATTAGGAAAATTTTAAATGTTTTTTCTATTAACCTCTTAAATTCTGAAAACCTGTTTAAAGAAATTAGCATATTATAGAATTCTACAGTCGCTTAAGCGAGGCAGATACAGACTGATAATTTGTTTAAATCACCTTCTCTAAAATGTAATAATACACTTTATGTAAAAATTAGATCCTATTGCTTATTGATATGAAACTGTTTTTTTAACTTTGTCAATTTTAAAAATTTAGAAGTTTTATAAAATTTTTAAATTATTTGTCATTATTTTTTTAACCTCATTGAAGTATTAATATTATATATGATAACTGGTCATAACATATGTAGTACTTATAATATGTTAAGATATTTATTTCTTATGATATAATATACATACAACTACTAAAATTACTTTCTATAATTAATAATTTCTTTCTAAGCGTGGTTGTTTACAATGAATAATAATTTAGTATTTATTTTATTTTTTCCTAGTTGCTTTTACTTGTTCTTGCTGCGGTTGCCATTTATGGAGCACCAGCTGAGGAATCAACTAAAGCCAAACGTGGCTTAACTCTTGGATTAGGCTATCATGCACCGCTTGTCACTCACTCTCATTACGTTGCACCAGCAGTGGTTCATCATGCTCCAGCAATTGTACATCATGCTCCAGCAATTGTACATTCTGCCCCACTTCTTACTCATTCATCCATAATATCACATCATCCAGTATCTTACCATTATCCCTCTTATCACTCATATCACTTGAAATAAGTGAAGTAGAAATTCAACATCACGAAAGCAATAACAAAAATAACAACACTCTCCAAGAAGAATTTTATAAATTGCAAAGAATATTTTCCAAAACTTCATCCTAGATTCAACGAAATTTCAATAAATTAAATCATTTTCAAACATGCTGTAGGAGTCATTGAGAGGTGTAGCGATGTACGTTCGGAGGTGCATAAATTTGACAAAAACTTTTTAAGAGATGACTTATAAATTTCACTAATAGAGTTTTGCTTTCTTTTCATTTTTGTTTAAAATTTTTTATATAACATAAAATTTGTAAATAAAAATAATTATTCAATAAAACAATAAACCAACAAAAATAAATAATTTTTGCATCTGAGGTGAAAAAATATTGGAAAGAAAAATTTTCATCCCAATGAAGAACATTTAGAAGAAGGAAAAATTCGGAATAAAAATTACTTTAATTTTCATCCCAATGAAGAACATTTAGAAGAAGGAAAAATTCGGAATAAAAATTACTTTTATTTATTAAACAAATTGAGTTCAGAATAATTCCTGTGGCAAAATACCTTTAAATAGATTTAAAAATAAATACACGTTTAATATTATACCAAAGATATATTAATATGAGTAGGTTTATTTATACCTCCAAATTCAGTTCAGGAGAATTCTTGTGGCACAATATGTATGAAATAGATTTAGGAATGAATACACGTTTAAATTTATGCCAGAGATATATAAATACGTGCAGGTTTATTTATATCTCTAAATTTAGTTCAGGAGAATTCCTGTACCACAATACTTATGAAATAGATTTAGGATAAATACACGTCTAATATTGTTTCAGAAATATATAAATATGAGCAGGTTTATTTATACTTCTAAACTAAAATTCTGAACAAAATTATTATTTCTAAATTAAATTAAATTAAAATTAGTGATTTTAAATTTAAACAAAACAATTAAAATAACTAAAATTAATTAATTAACTAAAATATCATTATTTATTTGGAAATTACATCAGAAGCAATATGCTGTGTTGTCCAACTGAACTGCAAGTTTTCGGAACGAGAAATACGTTTTTATTTGAAATAGAGAACATTTTTAAAAAGCAATTATTGAATTTATTTTAATTTTTCATTATCTCGAACAATGACTCTGAGTCGATCAACAAACAATTCTCACGCTTAACGATTATGAACCTATATAAGCACTTCAACATTAAGCACTTCAACACTATAGTACTAGTTAGGACTGACGTGTGTGGCCACTCTTTGGTGGCCACTATAAGATTGGGGTAAAGTATAAAATGTTACATTTAAGTCTTGTTGGAATGTCGTTTATCACTAGGTTTAAAGCATTTTCTATATCATTTTTGTAATAGTATTTCGAATTAACTTTGACGCCATTTTTTAGAAACACCAACGGATAGTGATGTCACCCCAGATGGCCGCAGAAAGCATCACACATGACAATGCTTGAGTTTTTGTGGCAATCTGAAAGTTTTAATTTACATATTATCTTCCTATTAAGTATCTATTTTATTTACGAATTGAGAATTGTTTAAATCAGAAATTTTTCTTAACAGAACAAAATGATACAAGGCAATTATCCGGTTTACTAAATTACAATAGCTCTTTCGCTCTGTGGAGTGTAAGATTTTTTTAACACCGGTAAAGTCTTGTCTTTGTATAAAATTAGAAAGAATGAATTCAGTCTGAATTCATTAATCCTATATCATATAATGTAAAAGTAGTATCTAATAAAAAAATGGTAATTCGGATATAATGCAATTTTTTTCTCCAATTTAAAAATTGTTATAAAGAATTTAAAATGTTTACTACAGATGTTATATTCAAAGTTCAAGTTCAGTTCTTAGAAGTGTTAATATTGAACACCTTTATTTGTTTATAAAAATGATGTACAGCTAAAGTTTAAAATCAAAGATTTAAACACATTTGGATCTAAATTTATTTATCTAACTTAGAAAGTCTTAGTTTCTGGTATTTTTTTAAATAATACGTATTATTCATGGCAGTCTCCGTGAGCCAGTTTATTTATTCTGCTAATAATAATAATAATAATAATAATAATAATAATTCTGTAATTCTAATTTATTCTATTTATTTATTTTTCGGAGTTCATATTTTAAGCTCTAAATCTTAACCAAAAATATTAAACCCATTTAGATTTGAATTTATTTTAAATAGATGAAAAGATTTTGGTAACTAATAGTTATTTTTAATTAAGACTGTTAATGGCAGTTGTCCTCCATATACACAACTTTCATATTTTTATATATATTTAAATTAAACATATAAATTGATTGGTGGTATTAAGTAACTCCTACAAAAAATACTATTGCAGCGACTGATATTTTTTTTATCCGACATGGTGTAAATGTTCAAATATCCTTTTTTTAATATTAAAAAATGATTTATTACATTTGTTTTCAATTTTTAGAAAACACATTTAATTTTAATATTAAATTATTATCACTTGAATATTTGAACCGGAAGGGATCAACCCAAAAATACTATGAGTGTTAATATTGTAAAGGATTTGTTGTGCTAAAGAAACGTTTTACTTTTCCTTATTATTAAAGCTGTATTAAGTCTTAAAAGGTGCGCAGCAATAAAATTAAACTGAGCCAGAACCAGACCCAAAGCCAGAGCCAAATTACACCAACTAACTTAATTGTTGGCAACTCTTCAGAATCGTTGTGCATATTTAAATTGCACTCAGGCAAACTGTTATTATGCAAAAATCCTGCAATCAACCTATTGAAATGCAAGAAGGGTAGCTTTACGCTCTGCAGCATTTAAAACACATAAATTTCTTTTATGAAATCGAAAATTTTTAAAATATCCTAGAATTTCAGTTTGATACCAAACTGCCTTTTATAGGTATAAAAAGTCTCAGTACTCTCAGTAATAATTCGCTTTTGTTAATTTAAGACATGGCAGCAAATTTAGTTCTTAAAGTATTTCGTGGATTTCGTGCTGCAACAGACGAAACTTCTATACGCCTAAGTGCCACTAACCCAGTTTTATTTGCTCAGTGAGGCATTCCAGTGTACCTACACGTACAACCACTTGCTCCACGCTTTGTTCAAGTATATTTATTTTGTGCACAACAATGTAAACAAGTTGCTTCAAAAAGGATTTAGTTTAAAAAGGCGTAAAAGCTCAGGCTCAAGATAATAAAAAAAACACTAGAAATAAAAAGAATTTGAAAAGAAATATTTTATTGAACGACATTGTAAATTCCTTTCAGAACTGTCATGATTTGTACGATTTTGGAATTTATATTATTACGAATATTTTGTGTGGCTAAAATACGAATTATCTCAATAGAGTAAATGCCATAGCAAATTTTATTTGGGAAAAATTCAAGTTAATTCACCACAAAATCACTTCCGAACTTTGAATCACAACATTCCTTAATGTAAACTGACAAAGGACATTGAAAATCTAAAGCCAAAGTTCGGGACATTTCACATTAAATAATTACATAAAAGGCTTATTCTCTTTAAATACGTTGGAGTAAAATGGCATTAAGATAAATTCAGTACCATATTTCAAAGATAAATGACTTTCTTTCGAGCGTACCTAAATAATCAGATTAAGTCAGTTTATAAGTAATAAGCATATTACAAAAATGTTAATTAATGGAAATTTTCAAATATACCGAACAGTATTAAGAATATTATAGTGGTACCATTAGTATAATAACGTTCTGATATATTTTTTTAAATATAAGTTTAAAGTGAACTCGTTCAAATCAGTGATATTAATTTATCAAAAAAATGCAAATATTAGACATTTAAGAAAAATAGCGATTACCAAAATGTTTTATTGAAACACATTTAAAAGTTTAAGTTTGAAAATGTCAAAATACTTATAAGTTGTAACAACGCAGACGGTCATTTACCTTATATCATACTCATTGTAATTATTTCTTCGTCTATGCTAATATTTGTATTTTTATAGTACAAAGCAAACTGTGACTTTACCCTTCATAGTTTTTTAATATTTATTATAAGCTGAATTACTATTTATATATGTTTATCCATTTTTTGTGCCTAGAGGAGATTCAAAAATGCCTAACGTATCGTCACAATAGCTTAAACAATATGCGTTACACATTGAAAATTATACACCAGGATTAATGCATCCTAGACATTATTGAATCGCCATTGAAATAAGTGAATTAAAGTATAGTCGCAATTTTTAAACAAAATTAGACTTAAAACCTTAAGATGCAATGCTATGTTATGCACGCAGTTATAGTTGTCGTTAATTTGTTAAATTATCTTTGTTTCCAATGTAAATTACAAGTATTGAATTAAAATGAAGAGAGTTTTAGCCAAACGAGTACTGCTTATAAATAATAGTAATTATTTTGGAATTTTAGGAGTATGTTACGAATACTATAAATGTAAGCATATTCATACAAAAAAATTACATATTGAATTTAAGCACAACCAAATTATATTAGATTAATAGTTACAATATAACAAACATGAATGAGATTTGAATATGTTCCTAACTTTCCTTTAGCACTGTGATCAAAAATTGTGTCAGCGTGACATGGTACTCTAATTCTGCAATTAGTATAAAAAAATGTGTCGACGTTTTGAGCAAACCGAAATGTGGTCAACAGCATCGCATTTAGATTATCAGAGTAACAGAACACCACTAAAATAGCTAAGAAGAAAAGATTAAACTAAAAAAATAAAAGAAACACACATCATCTTATATAGATTATGCATGTAGATTAGGGCTGTCCAGACCAGAGAAGATCGAGGACCAATCCAAATCATTGAATAGATTGGAGGGTCGCAGAAATAAATACATACATTAATTTATTGTCATACGAAAAATATTTTATTTTTAATATAATGACTTACGGCTGGATACGATTTTTACTAGTTGTACAAAGAAATATATATAAAAGTCTTTATTAACTAAGTAAATTGTTGTGAAGTATAATAAATTATTTAAAACATCTTGATTCATTTATTTAGAATATAATAAAAATAAAATAATGTGATGTTACCAAAATATAACAAAGAAAAATTTGCAAAATTATGGTAGATTAGAAACATATCGCGGGCCGCACATATATTACCGTATGACGCCCGCAGACCGCGCTTTGAACAGCCCTGACCTAGATTATGTATATGTAAGAAGTACTTTTGTATCTATACTAATAATAATAACAAGGAGACAATG